CGATAGATGGCAATACACAACTTTATAATTGCGCATGAAGCATATCCTTCACCACTACTATTGTTGCAGACGAGCTATATCTGCGCGCAATAGATTGATTTCCAGTTCCTGCTTCACATGCTGCTCTTTTTTCTCCATTAGCCGTGTTCCTTTCAGCTCTGCGACTTCCTTCGTAAATTCCGCCCAATTAGTATACTCCGTGTCCTTCAAGAGGTCCTTCACAATGCTTGGGAGCTTTCCTCTAACCTGCCAAATCATGGATGTGCTCGACGCGATTCCTGCACTCGTTGCAAGCTGTAATGCCTTGGTGGCCCAGGCAACGTGCGTCCAACATTCGCGATCATATAACGTAGTTTTCGTTCCGACCTCCTTATCTGTCAATAAAAACTCCAGCAGTTCCTTCTCATATTCTGCTTTCGTTTTTTCCGCAATTACGATTGGTGGCCATCGCCTTTCGAACACTGCGACGAACGCTGGCCAAGTGGTTCTATCCACCGATGGAAGAGCTTTGAACCATATCTCGGCTTGAGAACCTGTTCCCAAGTAGTCTCCGAACGCATCCAGTTTGTCCGTGCTCACAGTGATAGACTGTTGCCTCATTGCACGATTAAACGACTTTAAGAAATCTCCAGGGTTTTCCGATGTACGATCATCACCGTGAAATATCTGCAGTGTTTCCGTAGGCATTTCGATTTTGGCTTGTGCGTTTGCAAAAAAACCTATTTAAATCGTAGTCTGGTGCTGTGGAAATAGATTTGAGCGGTTTGATTTTCGTATAACGCGGTAACGGTTGAAAGTCGAGTGGAGGTAGTTGTAGGTCTAGTTCTGGGACGTCTAATTCTGGGAACGGGACGTTGACTTGGTCTTCGTCTCCGAGGCTGCTAAGGGGCGAGCTATTCGAAAGATACGGTGTGTTCTGTGAGGATGATTCCGGTGTATCCAGCGGGGAGGAATCGGTGGACGTATCCATCGACCAATTTGACCAGTGGATTTTTAAACGAATATTAGTCACTGCCTTTCCTGTATTTGCTCTGGGTCTTAAGCGTCTGGGCATCAGTTTCCGATGAGAATCCACGTAAATGATAATGCGAGTACAGTCCTTTTATGGTTTCCGCAGATGTTTTATGAACACCTGCTGTCTAGCTTAGACCTTCTGGGCGTAACGCGACGTAAAAGAACCGCCTTCTTTGTTATACTTCGTGTAACTATACACGTTGTGTTCTGCGTTCCGAACTTGCTTCCGAGTTGCGTTTACACAATTTCGAAGACCAAAGCTGCGACTGCGACTAGAGCTTTTTTAAGCTATGACAAAGACGATGTTGGATAGTTTGAATGCGCTCTGTTCACCACGATGAGATGGGCCAACCTGGTTTAGTGATGTGTGACTACTGGAATGTGTGATGATGCTACATGCTCTCACTCTGTGCGAAACTGTCAACCTCCTCCGATTAAACCTCGGAAACCGCCGTGGGACACTCCTCGTCTCTGTTGCCCATGAGACCCCTGGTCCAGCGGTCACCGCAAGCCTCGATATGACCCCTCAGGCTGAAGTGGTGCGTCCAGATTGTGTCGAACTTAGTCGCTCGAGTATCATTGTAGTGACATGCACACATACCCTGTGGCTGACAGTCTCCACTGGCAACTGGAAAAACGGCCGCACTTGCCTTGTGTGGTATTGCAATGGTGACATTCTTCTCGCTTCCATGCACCATAACCATATGATCATCTCCTTCATTACTTGACATCCGGGGTGAATTTCAAGGTGACATTCAGAAGAGAGTAGTGAGTAGAGCCGATGAGAACTTGACGCGGAGTATTGTTAGCGAGAAGTCCCAGACTGAAAAGTCGGGTTGCAACTCCCTGAGCCTGTCACAGTCAAAGACATATAATATGAATCAGGGCTTCGGGAGCCTACTTGCCATCGTTGAAGACATGTCTAGACTGGGTCATTGAAAAATTAATCATTCACTTTTCCAGCATAGCCACCGAGGTATGCGGTCCGGCCCGCCGCCAACTTCCTTCTTAACTTGTTAGTTCGCTCATGAATACTGAGTACTGAATCATGAACAAGTTGTTTCCCCCTCTTCTTTCTCCTCGTCTACGCTCGGCAGTTGTCTGTCGCAGCTATTTGAAAAGATATATAACAACATCACCTGCATTTGACTCTGATGAATCGCGGGAATTCGAGGATTTTGGGACGTACAATGTCATCTTACCTGAGGAACCGTTCGTGTGGGGTGTCTCCCATATAACCCGGCGTCCGGTTCCAAGTCATATTGTTCAACCAAAATACGCAGCGCAGCTCGACCCCCCAATGTCATCGGAGATAGACCATACGCAGCAATACGAAGGAGACGGAAGAATAATTCTGGGTAGCACAGACGAGAAGCGCCTGCGAGCAGCTGCGACGCTTGCTAAGAATGTGCGCCAATATGCTGGCTCGCTTGTGCAGGTGAGATTCATCAATGCTCACTATACGGATGCAAGATAATTTGTCGGTAGCCAGGTGTGACCACCAATTCGATAGATGCTGCAGTACACAACTTTATAATTGCGCATGAAGCATATCCTTCACCACTGCTATACAAGGGCTTTCCACGTTCGTGTTGCACCAGTGTCAACAATGTTGTTTCGCATGGCATACCAGACGAGTGAGTGCTTTTGTACGAGCTGTCTTTCAAGACTCAACAAGGTGACAGTCGACCTCTCGAGGATGGGGATATAATTAACATTGATGTGACAGTCTATTTCAACGGTTATCACGGCGACACTTCTTCTACTTTCCTCGTCGGAGATGTTGTAAGAAACATCCCTCAGAACAATTCCATTCTTCGTGATTTACTTGCATGATAGGACGAACCTGGCCGAGACCTTGTGCAAATGACAAATGCTGCACTCGAGGCTGGTATTGACGCTTGCGGACCTGGTAGACCGTTCAATGGCATTGGAAGGGCTATACATGAAATCGTCCGAAATACCTGTCATTCTGTCTGTCCTGCCTTCGCTGGGCACGGCATAGGGACCGTTTTCCACCGACCCCCTTGGATATACCACACTCGCAAGTCCATGTTTTGTTCCCGTGTTGATGGTATCATTGACGTTTGCTTTGCAGAAAATGAAGAACCTGGCGTAATGCTTCCTGGGCATTGCTTTACCATCGAGGCAATCAACTCAGTGCATGTCGTGACCTATTGCTAACGTCCATTTCTTTCAGCCTTCTCTCGTTCAAGGTTCTAATCCTAGTGTCTGGATTTTTCCGGACGGCTGGACTGCATCGACGGAGGTACGACTGACCTGCTATAAGCCCGAATATTTTCCTAACGGTTGTCATGAGCAGAATTGTGCACGAAGCGCTCAAGCAGAACATATGATTCTCATCACTGAGACTGGTGTAGATGTTTTAACGCAGTGATTGTTTTATTCACCTCTAGGACAAATTGGCAATGTGAAACATATAATGTTACTTTTAATACATCTGCATAGTGCCTAACCCATCTACGACGGCGTAGTCATTACCCACTCACTCATAAATCTAAGCAGCACCTGGGTGAGATCCCCCTTGACATTTCTGTTGTCATCGACGCTCTTTTGCAGAATAGGCTTCGCTTGCTTCAATAACTTCTCCAAATCCGTCGCCATCTCTCCCGGCATTCCCCTCCTAATTCTGTCTGTGAGCGCCCTAGATGGTCTTTTTGAACTTTCTCGCATATCCATGGTTTGTGGAATGTGATCCTCCGAGTCCATTTCAGCAGTGTCAAATTCTGGCTTCGAGAGCCACATCGCAAGCTGCGTTGCCGCATACACGAGCAATGCCTCCACTGTCTTCCGGGCTGTCAGCATGCCTTCCTGCACATCAAGCGGCGTATCTTTGAGGGACGCAGGGGGGGCGATGGCCTGACCTGCTGGGCGATCGACGAGGTGTCGTAGGACATCAAGGGTGCAGTTCGCGAGTTCAAGCAAGGTTCCCAAAGATGCTGGTTCCCCCGGCACCACCTTGGAATGCTGCAGGAAAACGGTAAATAAATAAAGTTCTGCTTCAGAACGTGAAGCTACGCACAGGAACTATCACTGCTTCTTGAACGGGCCATTCTTCTTGTTCACCAAGAAGAACGTCATACGCTCGGCTGATGCTAATCAGCGTAGACACCACAGAGCTTGACAGCCTAAATAACCGATGAACGAGACGCGCAGTCAACGGATGTTTCTGCAGGTCGGCCATGTCCACTGATAGCAGGGAGGATGCGGCGGTAGGCTCCTTTTCCAGCAATGCACGCTCTTCTGCAGTCACCGGTTCCAAGAGACTAGCGATGTGATTAGGGTGCGTCAATGCGTAGTTGAGTTGCTGAAGGAGCATGAGCGCGTGGGTTGTGAACACACGTAGGACCTTGACGACTGCTGGGTTTGGGGAGGCAGTAGGAGGAGCACTCTCCGCAAGCGCATAAAAGAGGCCAACGACCTGTTCCATCTCCTCCAATAATGGTAGTGTAATCGGATCACCGACACTCCAGCTCAGCGCCCGGATAATCTGCTTGCCATACAGTTGCACGAATCCGCATGCCTCTGCGTCGAAGAAGTGGTGTTGCCGCTTGAGAGCGGAGACGATAGCAGAAACTATGGCTATCATCGAGCAGTATGTCTTGTGTGCTGGGCTCCTCTCTCCAGGAAGCTCAGGCAACACAACATCGATCTGCCCTGAGCTTGCCGCAAGGCTAATTCCGTTGTTACTGTATGCCGAAATGATGCCTTCACTGGCGAATCTTTCAGCCCCGGATGATATGCTTACTACAGCCATGTGGAATAGGAGGATGTGGGGCGCGTACAAAGGTTGCCTGCGTGTGCGAAGCAGGGGCAGATCTGTGAGGCCGATCACATCTGTCCTAGTGAGTAATTCCAAGCTTGATTTGATGACATCCGTCTCTTGGCATCGGGTCAACCATGTTACAGACGAGACGTTGATATCAGGACGCGTGCATTGCTCGAAGACTGCAACCAGTAGCTCCATATCCCGATCAAGATCAAGATCAAGCCGTGTACGGGCAGAGTCAAAGGTAAGGCGGAGAGCATCAATTACCAGTGGAAGCGTTGCGTCCACCAAGCCAGAAACGGCAATGCGCCTGCTAGCGGTGAGGACCTTAGGTCGTCTGGCAAGATTCCGGCACTGGCGAACACAGAAGTAGATGACCTGGAGCAGGATTTGATGGAAAGGCACGGATAATTGTCCCAGGAATGACTGAGAAGGAGGTTGTGCCTCATTCAACAGGACTTTGTGTATGTTATCCACGAGGTTCATGAAAGACGTGATGTGCTTGTCGGTATCCGAATCAGAGAACCAGACCACTTCAAGAATTGATAGCAACAAGTTGAGTCGCGTGCCATGGAGTTTTGCCATCATGTCTCCCGACCTTTTCTCCAAAGCTAGGTCTCCGGATATCGTGGCCGAGAGTGATAGGAGGTTTGAACGGATCTCTGGCACTGGCCGCACAAATGGCAACACTTGATGCAAAAGGAACTGCCACGACTCCGTCAAAGCCGTCTGAGCGTAGGTGAGGGAGAGATTGAGATTTAAGGACGCGATTCTCTTTTCTACTTCTTCCACTGCATTTGCCCTATCATCACCCGACACGCACTGTTGCATACGACTGCGAAGAAGTGCTATGGAGAACATGAAGTCATCACCAAACTGTCGCTCGTCGCTGAGATCCTGCGACTGTAGGTGAGTAAGGGAGAGGCCCGGGAAGTCCTGCTGAAGCTGCGTGGCGAGTTTATCAGAAAGACTGGGGTCATACGATGTGCTCTTGGCTTCCAATATCAATTCGTTGAGTTGATCTTCGGATTTGAATGATGGAGCTAGCTTGCTGTAACTCAAGGGCTTCTTCGCGGGCTCACAGGACCTAGGCTGTGGCTGAAGGAAGATGTCCTGTCCAATGACACGCACAGCATATGACTTCACCATGTTGCGATACGACTGAACAGATACTGCTTCGTGGAGACTTGATCGGCGCTCGTCGTCCAATATGATGAATGTCTCTGTCTCGTAGTCAGGATCGGGACCGAGCTCCTCTTTAACAACAGCAACCACATTGGTCCAAAACTCGTCATTGCCACGAGTAGTATCAATGAGATTTTTGTGTTCAAGCCCGTGTTGCCACACGACATAAATGAAGCGAAACACCGATGCTAAGAGTTGGGGATTGGCCTCCCATAAGTCTTTCCACCGACTGAGCGTTTCGTTAGCAACTTCGAGGGCGCTCATGTGCTTCTTCGAATCATCCTCCCCTTGCGATTTAGCGTTCTCCTTGCTCTTGATTTTGTTGTTCGGAACCCGGAATTGTCCTGTAACGAAGAGGTTGGCTAATGCTGGTTCCTTATCAACGGCAAGGGCTATGAAGTTCCAAACGGCATTGCGCAGTGCGAGATCCTCGTACGGGTGCTGTACAATTCGCACGAACGATGCGACAGTGGCCTCTGGATTCGAGAGATGACCGATGATTGTCGCAGGCGAGGGCTGAGTCACAGACAAGGATGCGCAGAGAGCATAAAGAACTCTGATCGACTCTAGCGGAACAGCGGTCCCAATATCTCGCCCTTTAACATAATTTGCCAGGACGTCGACGGGATCTATCCTGGATCTCGTAGAATCCGTGAACCCAGCGCCTCCCGCTACCCGCGCGCACAGAGCTTGCTCTAGAAGACACGGTTTCGAGGAATAGGGAATGGACTGTTTGTAGCTAAGGACTAGCCTAGTGAGACTGAGGTGTGACTCCAGCAGGTAGATCAGACGTCTGGCATCGCCATAGCGTCGTGAAGCGTAAAGGGTGCCGAGGATGTGGGGGGCAACCGCTATCGATGATACAAGTGGGTTGATAGTTGACGTCGTGGCCTTATGCAGAAGAGCGTCAGCGACAGCTTGGCTTAGGGCAGGGAAGGGACGATCGCCCAAAGCGGGAGGAGATTGCTTGAGAACATAGCCATAAAACGAAGACACTCGTCGTCCAATCTCAAACCTATCGCCAAGCTGGGCATACTTCCAACTCAAGTGCTCCACCCATATCTCCCCATGGACGAACACTGCTGCTCGGAGTAGAACTTCCTCTTTCACCTGTTTAAGGCGTTGATTGTCAAGTGGAATTGTGAGCACGGACGCAAACGCTTCATGGAGGAGTTGTTGGACGAGATTGAGCAATGCGAGAGTCATTGTATAGTGACCAGAGATCCGCTCCGCTGGTAGAGCGACTGCCGCAAAACCTGACGTACGACTAGGGCCAAACAGCACGCTGGTTGAACGGATATAGAGCCATACACGCAGAGAGTATTTTGGCAAGGATAACAGTGCTGATAGAACGCTCATCGCAGATGTGATTAGCTGGGTTCGCGAAAAACTTCGAGCTTGTGAGCGACTGAGGGCTTCCTCCAGAATCATTGTCGTGAGATGGACGAGGTCGGGCGGCTGATTGTCCGAAGAATTATTAGGGTCGCCACCGCTCTCGAGAGATTCCAATAGCTCTTCCGCCAGCTCTTCATTGTCTTGGATGACGCTGCGAATGAGGTCAAGAGCATCTGTCGCGAGTGCTTCATCACCCCCCTCATCAATCTCCATCCCGACGTCTTCAAGCCTGAGCGTCAAAGGAATAGATCCAGGGCCTGTACGGCCGAAGGCAACGTCCTGGTATAGGTCCACGGTGCCCGTGTACATCCTCCGCCGAGTTACGTACTCAGTGAGCACGTCCAAAACCACCTTCCATCCGCTGTGCTCATGTTGCCAACACACTGCAATATGATCCCCACCATCCCCACTCAACAGCCGACCCTTCGAGCGCGCAGGCATCACGGAGCCTCCAGGAAGGCGAATAGCACGTAGGTTTGTGTATGCGAAGGATGGACCGGCAGCCTGTGCTTTCTCATAGACAGCATTAGGACCGGTGCAAGATGCCAGGGGAATGACCAGCGAGAAAGTAGGCAACTTATCCACGTAGTAAAATACATGTCGACTACAAATCTCACGGTCACCATCATCACTTTCATCAGCGGGAGGTTGGGTGGACGATGCTGCAGTGGATAGTGGATCAGTATCAATGAATCCAGACGTAGTCATTGCTCGAAGAAGGCGGATGAGCGGCCGGAAGTGAATTGGGAAGCGTGTTCGTGCAACATCAAATATGGCGCGACGTGCAAGGCCCTGCCGCCAATCCGATTGCCAAAATTGTCGGCATATCCCTGCTATAGATTGACACTCGCTGCGCCCAAACAGCGCAATCCAAACTTCAACCAAAGAGTCGAAGTCGGGAATGAGTTCAACAGGGACCAATTCAACCATTGCAATGACAAAGCCTAAGGGAAAATGATCTTTAATGTGCTGTTTCACGCAGAAAAATGTTGTCACCTTTGAGTACAGAGCGGAATGCAATAGCATTTGGGTCGGTTACAGTCGACCCTGTCTTCCAAGCAACGGAGGTAACAAACAGTGGGGAGGTTGTAAGGAGAGTCAACAAGAGCTTGAAAAGGCCGGCTTCAGGACTGAAAGCTGCCCGTGCCATAAGTACATGCGATGGCTCCCTTTCCTTAGAGCGATTGTGGTGCGGATGCAGGGAGTCTAAAAACCCGCGATACGATTCTGGAATCTCTTTCAATTGACCAGCTTTTGAGGTCAACCGCGACAGAACGAAGGCCCATGCTAGGTGTGTGCACGCGTGCTGGCTGGACAAGTTGGATGTCACTAATTTCATGAATCCTGTCTGAGTGACTCTGGCGGACGAGGGATAGAAACGTTTTGTCAGGAAGGTAGTGCCGAAAATCTCTATCCTCATCCTCTTGCCACTCTCTCCAAATCAAGAAGACCATCTACGTGACAAGTATCCATCACGCCGCCGCAATACATGCTGCAGTTGATTGCCTCATCATCTAACACCCAAAAGGGTCGAGGTTTTCTGCGAGGTGAGCCCAAGGTTCGTGTTGTAAGCAGCTTCAAAATATTCTAGACCAACCAAAGGTCCATCGCAAAGTGAACATACCCCCAGACTGTCCAACAAAAGATGCACCTCTAGCGTCACGAGTTGCTCCTTCATGTTCTGCTTAGCCCAACGAGAGGCAATACGTGCATCGGCATGCAAAACCTCTGGGATGTCCATTTCAGTTTTGTGAAGGTATTCTGTTATGAGGTCGAGTGCGAATTGATGACTGTCTTGTAGGATTCTGGGAAGACACTTCGTGGCAACGGCATGGATTGAGTCGCCAGTGTTTTCGTGGGCACGGAACAGTGGAATGAGGGCGCGCAATACGAATAGGCGTTCGGAGTAGTAGAATGGCGTGATTGCTGCGATGAGCTCGTCCACAACGCCTTTATCGGTTGAGCCTCCGTTATTTGAGAGACCTTCATTATATAGGAATGATCGAAGGAGAACAAAAGCCTGAATTTCATCAATCCCGAACGAGTACTAATTGCAAGTGTGAACTCCCTCTCGACTTCGTCGACTTGCAACACACACCATCCGCGAGCGTGACTGAGCCAGCCTCGACTGCTTTTCGTGACGCCGGTGTGGGCGTTCCATAAGGTTTGGCGAC